TGAGCGAACACCCAAGCACACGGGCGCGGAGACTCAGGGCATGTCAAGCGGCTTGGGGCTCACACACACAGCGGGGAGGAGTGCGATTTAAAGTGCGCAAACATATTGTAGGAGAGGAGGGGCGTGCATTTCCTATTCATCCTGAATGTTAAACAGATTATGTAATAAACCCAGTTAACTCCTTCTAGGTGGGCAAACCACAAATCCCAGCTCCCACCGTGGCTGTGATAAATTATTAAGTGCAAGGATAAAGCAGAAACTTAAATGAGAAAGAGCACAGAAGCTGTTGGAAAAAGCAGCAGTGAGTGAAGTAGCCTCTCTGTGGGATGGCAGGGTCAGGAAGAAAGTTTTTTCAAAGAGACCTATAAAGTCTTTCCTTCAGCAAATAGAAATGAATACTGCAGCAATGTTTAATTACTTCTCCAAAGCACTACTTCACCATCTGTACAGATTTAATTTGCAAGAATCTTTCCTTTCTGTATCGTAAAGTGAGGCTCACAAACTGCACCAGTCCAAAATTCATTATTTTTTTTTAAAGTTGGATCTACATGCTCAAGAAGGCTCTTATATGACCTTGTTAATTTTAATTTCACAGTCTTCAAATATTTTAAAGAGAAATGACCAAGTTTTCTTCCTCAAAAAATGAATGGAAAACAAGTTATTGCCTTTTTCTGTTCAGCTGGTTTGAGTCGGGCTAGAAGGGAGGGGGTAGGCAGGAGTGAAGTGCGTTTTTTGTGCACATGAGCACGTCTTGTCCAGAATTCCCTGAATCAAATCTGACATGCAACAGCAGGTGTTTTGCACTTTGCTCAGGATCATGAGGTCCATGGCCACTCTCTTCTCTTGCAAGAAGGAGCAAAGGCATGGCACGCATCAAAGATGTCTCCTACAGTCCCTTGTCCCTGTTGCCAACAGCTTTGACCATGAGTGTCTCTGGTTGTGAAGCAAAGCACATTTCCTAAGGAAGGCTTTGATCACAGGCTATCTGACAAGGAGTTTGTAACTGACATGAAGACTAGTGCTGTGGTGTGAGCTCAGCCAAGACATAGGTTTCTACATAGATGTGCTGCTATGCTTGCATCAAAAGATGCTTTTGACTCCTGGCTATACAATTTTGCAGTAATCAAGGTTGCAGGCCATGATCACATGACCTTTGGGTCCAGGTCTGTGCCTGAGTAGACAGGGCACTGCCTGATAGCTGTTTTCAATCATACTGAGATGTCAAAGGTGAGATGATTTATCCTTACAGCTTCCAGTGACTAGGGAGGAGATTATCTCTGTAGGGACCACCACAGCAACAAATAAATGGGAACAGAGCTTGATAATCAGCCTGTGCACTGCTCTGTCAGCTCTGCTCGAGAGTGTTATTAAACTTCCACTACTCCTCTAGCCTTACCAGAATAAAAATATTGTTTTTATTCCTATTGGGTATGAGATCAACTGTGAAATATAAAGATTAGTCCCCTGCGAGCCATGTGTCAATGTGGCATTTTACCTTTTTCAGAAACCCATTGGTGCAAATACCACCGCTTCATCTTAGCTAATAATTGAAGCTAGACCAGATTTGGTTGAGAATTCAGTCCACAACTGCAGCATTGTTTCTGGAGATACTTTCTTTCCCAAAGAAAGTATGATCTAGTAGCTGATTGTCAAAATTTCAGACATCTTGTCCATTATGCTCTTCTCATGCACGGCATGTGCTTTGCAGTCTGGTAGACCCCAAGCCAGAAAGCATAGCAGCTGAGACCCTAAAACCTAGCAGCTGAGACCCTAATGTCATGGCAGCAGACATCTGATAGTCTTCCTAAAATCCCCTGCAGTTAAGCTGCTGGTCATACAGGTGAAGATTTGTTCAGTGCAATTAGTTCCATTGCCTGGCATAGGTGGTGTAAAAGTGACCTTGGTTCCTCAGAGTTCACCCGTGTTTTCATTTCTCAGTCCAGAACGGCTTGTCAAGATTTGCCACCATATCAGTGCGCTACAAGATTCCAGCTGGTCAACAAAATCAAAAATATCCCAGTGACAGATGCATGAGATATGAGATATGCCTTAGTGCTTATATTTTACAGCAAGCAATTTTCAGATTCCCCAAGGTTTTCCTGGAACTTCAGCTCTGCGTGCTGCGAGAGCTGAACACATCTAAGGATGAGAAGATGATGGGTTTGTATACGAAGCTTGCAACTGTAACCTCTGAAAAGAATGTCTTTAAATCTTTGAAGATAGATCTCAGGGTCAAACCAGCATTTTAAACATTTTATCTTACACATAGAATAAAAAACTGTGCTCTTTAATATTGGGAAGGAAGCAAGGAAGATGTTGACTGATGGAGAAGGCAGAATGAGTAAAAATAGATGAGAGGAGAGGAGAGGAGAGGAGAGGAGAGGAGAGGAGAGACAAGACTCCGGGGGGACCTTATAACTAAAAGTAACCTACAAGAGGAGAGAAGAGGAGAGAAGAGGAGAGAAGAGGAGAGAAGAGGAGAGAAGAGGAGAGAAGAGGAGAGAAGAGGAGAGAAGAGGAGAGAAGAGGAGAGGAGAGGAGAGGAGAGGAGAGGAGAGGAGAGAAGAGGAGAGAAGAGGAGAGAAGAGGAGAGAAGAGGAGAGAAGAGGAGAGAAGAGGAGAGAAGAGGAGAGAAGAGGAGAAAGAGGAAGGGGGAAGTGTGGGAAGGCAGCAAGCCAGAGAAAGATGAGAGGCAGAAGCAGTGATGACAGGAGAGCAGAGAAGAAAGAGATACAGAAGTACAACTAAATTTCAGTCATGAGCATCTTCAGTTAGAGCTCTGTTTAGAAGGCCAAATGTCACAGCTATTTCAGAAATAGAATGAAAACTATGTAATCTAGAGGGGAGAGCACATACACTCTCTGTACACTCATGGCACCAGACTACCCTTTTATGCATGCCTAGGTAACGGCATGAGAGATTTGGATCAATAGCTACTCTGATTGAAGCTTGGAAAATTACATCTTCACTGCAACACCTGAGATAAATTTTGCCAGTGCTTCAGACAGACACTTAAAAACCTCGAAGTTCTTCTTTGGGCCACTATAAGCATCAGGAAAGTGACATCAGCTGGTTTGCAAACACCTGAGAGCACCATCCTACATAGCAGCACCGTTTCCATGCTAAAATTATGCAGAAAAGCATAACCTATGTTTTGATCTTCTGCAGACACATGCCACTTGTTAAACAGAAGAGGGCCTGGGAATAAGCTTGAGCAGTGATCATCCACCCTGCCTGTTATCTCACTGCTTGATGCAGATTCATATTTCACCAAATATTCCTCCCCCAGGCAAATCTGCAATAGACTAGAAATTCCTAAGTAGCAGGGATGCAAGCCAGACAGCATCACATCATCCTAGGGCCAGGAGACTGACTACACCATTCTTTTCTCCAGCCCTCCATGCTAGGAGAAGAAGCAGGGATTTCTACAGCACTGCATTCAGGGCTTATCCATACCTCTGCTAACTGGTGACCCCACAGCAGACACTGCTGCAAGGAAATGGCCCATAGCAGCTCAAGGTGTTTTGTGCAGATCTTCAAGCCAAAGCTTGATTCACAGTAGAAGATGACAGGGCACTGTGTCATTCTCCTCTACTCGCTACACCTTTCATGCACCTTCCACCTGCACCCTGCAGGTTTGGGTCTTCTCTAGAAAAGCCGTTGCTCTTCCATGCTGGAGTGCAGAGACCTGATGCTAGGCTCAGAAACACCATGTGCTTACAGGGTTCACATTGTTACAGCACATCTCATTAAGAAGACAGGCTGGAAAGGATATAGGAGCTCAGTTTGGGGGATTAAGTAGTGGATTTTTTTGAGATCAGAGCGAGACCTCTTCATGGGGCAATGAGAAATGTTTATGCTTCCCTCTCCCACACATGGTACAATCACATTCCAAGTCAGGACACTAAATTACATGCAGCTTTTTCTTTGACAGTTCTTGTGTTTTGGTTTTGTTCCTTTCTTTTTTCCCCTTCACTTTATTAATCTTTCTTCTTCCTCTATTAATCTTTCTTCTTCCTCTCACTGCCCACTTTCATCTTCTTTTATCTCCTCCCTCTTCTTCCAGATTTCCTCTTTTTTTTCCCAAAAGGTGGCAAGTCTACTCAATGGACTATGTCCTTTCCCAGGCCTCAAGATCAACTTAGTCAGCTGCAGGCTAATTTCGAGACATGGGAAAAGTCAATTTCAATCAACAAGGTTTCGACGTTTTGGCAATCCATGAAAGCAGAGGACAATGCATTGTATTCCCCTCCCTCACTATTTCCATGGCCTTTAGGCTATTTTTACCATCTTGTTTCCAAGAACAAATAAAAATAAATATAGTTCTAGGAACTGTAGAGTACAACAACCAAGGGGTTCTGTATGCATCACTAGGACAGCAGCTGAAACAGCAGAGGAAAATGTGGACAGGGAGAGAGAAGGGAAAATCTAAATGAGGAGGAAAAAATAAGTGAACAGTGAAAGAAAAAGGAAAACAGGAGCAAAGATGTTCCTATTCCTCTCCTCACAGGAGAGGAAAAAAACCAAACAAACCAGTAGTAACTGCTGGTCATTTGGAGCACATATAGGTAAAAACTTACAGTAGCCATCATTCACCCACAGCCCGTGCTCATTGTCACACCTCAGATTTTCCTCCTGCTGCCCTGCTGCAGAGGATGAGAAAACACAGGGTTTAAGTTCTCACAGCCCCTGGGGACCCACAGGCTCATCTCTACTGCAGCCAGCAGCAAGAGCTCCCTCCTCACTGCCCCACATCTCTTCTCACAC